GGGTGGCCTCCCCACCTCCCCCCCTCCTCCGCCCCCGGCGAGGAAGAGACACGTGTGATCGGGTGTGCCGTATCCCGGGTCCTGGCGTGCCGTAACGTGGGTGTAACGCGGCGTGGCACGGCCGAGACGATGCCGTCGGCGCTGCTCCGGCATCGCGGCCGCGACATTTCCATGGAAACGTAGACGCGGCCGCTGGTGCGTGCGGGAGCGACCACCTCCGCCGTCCGTGTCCGTTTCCCGTTCCCCGTCGTCGCGATGTCGACCGCCCGTCGGCTGCCTCGTCTCCGCGCGCGATTAGGTTAACCCTGACGCGAAACGCTCGCGCTCGCTCAACGTCCGACGACGAGGGGATTTCCACCGTCGTCGCTCGGTGCCTCGGTGAGATTTCCTCTTCCTCTCCCTTCTTGTCTCTCATAATGTCGTGATTGCATCTCTCTCGCTTATTATATTTGTTTTTCTTCTAAGTTAATTTTAATGTCAGTTTAACGTATTGCTTTTTTCTAGCTCTGTGAATATTATGACCGTTTTTATCAATGTAATTTAATTTTAATCTCTGTTCAACTAACTTCATTTTTTTCTAGCTACAAGAATTGTGACCATTTCTGTCTCTCGGTGTAGATTAACTTTAATTGTCCCTGGTGAAAATTTTTCTCAGAATTTCTTCATACAGTTTTATAACTTTCTCATATTTTTTATACGAATTGGGACACTTCTCAGAAAATCTACATCTTTTCTCAGAATTTTCCATATATGTTAATTATGAATTATCGTAGATATATATTTTTTGATAAGATAAGATTTTTTGTAAGTATAATTTCTGATGAAAATATTATAAAATTAAAAAAAAAATTAAAAAATATTTTTAAAAAATTATGGCATGAGAAATCTCAGAATATTTCAGAATTCACATGTTTGAAAAATTCTGAGAAAAGATGTAAACTTTCCGAATATTTCTGAGTATTTTTGAAAAATGTTTCAATTCGTATAAAAGTTATAAGAAAAATTTTTACCAAGGCTTGATTTAATTTACTTTTTTCCCTCTTCTAATTCTAAACTAGAAAAAAAGTAAAAACAAGATTATAGTTGGTCTACATTGGTAAAAATGGACATTAAAAAAAGATGAATGTCCGTTTCTACCAATGTAGATTAACTTCAATCTGGGTTCAGTTCACTTTTTTCTTTTTCTAATTTTTAGAACTAGAAAAAGATAAAGAGTTAATTGGGACCAACATTAACTTTTTGTTTTTATTTTGTTTAGAATTGTTTGTTTCTACAAATGTGGATTAACTTCAATCTCAATTACTTTATTCTTTATCTTTTCTAAAAATCAGAACAAGATAAACAGGAAATTAAACCGAGATTAAAGGTATATTGATATAGAATCTATATTGATATAGAAATGGACATACGTCTCAGAAAAGTAGGAAAAGATAACAAATAAGTTATACTGATATTAAAGTAAATCCATGTTAACTTTAAGACTCGGTTTAACTTTTTATCTTTCTCCAGTTCTAACAATAAAAATTATGTTCATTTCTACAAATGTATATTAACTTTAATCTGAGTTTAGTTTACTCTTTATCTTTTTCTAATTCTTAGAATTAAAAAAAGGTAACAAGTAAATTTAAAGTTTACCAAGATTCAAATTAATTTACATTGGCAGAAGTGAACATTCATTCTCTTCCTTCTTTTATAGTTTTCTTCTTTCTTCCCGATAATTCTCACATTTATATTGGTGAATCACTGGACATTAAGATCAAATTGTCAAAATCATTTCGATTTGTATCTAAGATTCTTGAGATTCTATTTTTTTCCAATTTATCTTTTTTAAGGCAGACAATACAGAAATAATGTAATTATTATATTTCTCTATTCGATGGAATATCTCCTTTATTCATTAGTGAAACTTTATCTATCATACAAACCTGTTTTGTTTAAGTAAGGTCATGTGTTAACGTTGGTAAAATTGCACGAATATTCCTGAGTTAGGAAGTTTCGAGAATGTCGATGATAATAAATCAGAGTGAAGAGGTCGAATTCAAAGTTATCTTTGTGATTGATTCACAATAGGGATATACACAATAGGAACGTTGTATTTCTAACTTATAACGTGGCACATATTTGCATCAGAAATTAGAAACTGAGAGCAGGACGAGTAAAAATCTTATGATGTGCTTTCAGAAATTGGATTAGGAGGCACGGAAGAGATCCGAGTTTGGGAGGAGAGCGTGACATTTCTTTTGCTGGAAGAAGCGAAGAGCCCAGAGTGAATAGTGCTCGCATGTCATTGCCATTAGATTTTGTACAATGAGCAGCTGGACAGAGAGAATGCATCGACGCGCAGCTACGTTAGGAAATGTTGTAACCAGCTGCGGACATCCCTCCTCAGAGCCTCCGCACCCGAGACGCCTGGAAAAGTTAGTATATCGCTTTACGAAAATAATATGTTTACCTTTTGCTTGTTTTAATCAATATTTTATCTTTAGAAAGTTTATTTTAAAATTAACAGCCCTTTTTTTGTATTTATATACACGTGTATAAAAACTTTGTATAGATTTGTATTTTTTGGGACGTGAGGAAAAAGGTGAGGAAAAATATACAGTTCATTTGGCTGTAATACAATAGATATGTACAGCAATAAATAATTTTAAAAAATAACGTATATCACTTTCTTATCGAATATAAATTTTCAGGAAGTCTTGGTTACAATGGTATATCTTTAATAAAGAGTAGAAGATGTGACTTGTCTAATTATAAAAAATTTATATAATTATTATATAATATATTTATATAATTGTTAATTCTAATCATAAATGTATTTTTTGGGAGAAAGGAAAAAGATTATTATATAATTTATTAGTTGTGATATAATATTTACAGTGACATATGATTTAAAAAAATTACACCAATTTTTTATTATTGTGTATATTTAATTAGAAAGAGGAACATAATTCGAATATATATTTCCTAAAAATCTTGATTGCAATATTTTTAACAATAAGTAGAAAGCATAAATCGTCTGATTACAAAATGTATTTATATAATCGTAAATTTAAATCAATTGTTCACACAGTTAGACAATCAATTTCTTGTAGATGATCATTAACTTAGTATATAGATAAAAAGCATAGTAAGACAGCATGTCGATAAGAAAATTAATCGGAGTAATAAAGATCTTTTAAATTTTTTCACAGATATGATAATTGATATTTAACGATATGTCGGGCAAATATTATCAGCACTCTGCGTTACATGTTTGATGCTCTGAGGAGATGCGTGATAGTATTTGTAAGTAATTGCAGAGTTTGCGAAAATTACGTGTATCGTATGTTACTAATATGCATTGACAACTCAGAGATCCATCGTGTTAATAGTGCTGACTTGTTGAAAGCTGTTTAGCGAATCTAGAGTAGCGATATTTGGTAGCGCAATTTTGTGTAACAAACAATGAAACGCATCGCCGTGACGCCTCTAATTCAACATACATATTTTCCCGTGCCTATTTTAAAGAAACTCGCTTTAATATGCCACATCCAGAGTTCATGCGATTTTCCCGCTATTGTCTTGTCGGAATCGAATACCGACATTATTCCCATTAGCTGAGAAAGTAACGTTTGCAAACTTCTTGCTTTCTTTTTGCAGGGTCAAGTTTGGTGCACCCCTGAACGAAGTGTGCAAGAATGATATTCCTGGCCCGTTACTGGTAAATAACGATTATGTTTCATCGCAAAATGCGCTTGTACTTTAATTTTCCATTTGCAATGCATCTTGTATTCAATAAAAAGATTTTTTTATATCTCTCCTTTAGAAACAAAATAATTTAACTTACAATTAGTAAGAATTTATAACAACTATATGTAGCGCGTGAAAAGAGGTTTATATATTTTTATTCTTGAGTTTTTTCGTACAAGCAAAGTTTCACTCTTTTTGCGAAATAAAGGAGAGCTGAGATCTCTATAAAATAATTGAGAAATTCATTTGGTAATAGAAATGTTGAAAAGTAATCCTGAATTTTTCTACATTTTTTGAAAAGTAAGAGCAGTAAAAAAAACTTGGGTTGAACGAAAAAATCCAAATTGTAGACGAAAGATTAAAACACTTAGAGTAATTATAAAATAATAATGATAGTTTAAACACAAATGAGAGAAGAAGAAAGCCATTTTCAGTTAAAGTTGAGCTTGATGCTTAGTAATATTCATATATGAATATACAAATATAATGTATAATTATAATGTTCCCTTATTCCAGGTCCTTATATTAAAACTGAACAAGGAAGCTCCGCTCAGAAAAGATATCTTTCGGGCACCTGGCCACCAGGGTAATATGAAGAAACTGGTACACTTCCTGCAAACCGGACATCTGGTCAACATGGATAATTTCAGCGATTACACGATAGCCAGCGTTTTAAAGAAGTTTTTGCGCAAGATACCCGGTGGAATATTCGGTAAAGAGGCGGAGCAACAACTGTTTACCATAATCCAGCTAGATAGTGTAGAACAACAACGGGACCAGATACACAGGTGATGACTTCTTGCGATACTTTCTCATTACATTATTCTCGAGATTAGTTGTTCCGTTGGTTTTACAAAGTGGAAATTACGCTGCGTAGATTAATTACCTCCATGCCGATATACACACAACGGTTACTGGTACTGCTGTTTGGAACATTCAGGATAGTAGCAGTAAATTGCGAGCGAGCGCACACGGGGATGACTAGTGAGGCCCTGGGGGTGTCCGTGGCACCCTCGTTCTTTCATAGTTGTGTCAGCGACGGCAAGACTGCTAAGATGGAGGATGTTCTCAGATTTAAGGTACTTGACGCGAAATGACCTGATCTTTATTGTTATCATGATCGGATAGTTTCTTTTCCTATCAGTTATTGTTATTTTTAAAATCATTAATATCATTAATATACTTTAATCCGAGCATTAAAAATTATTCTGTATAATTTAATTTAAACTGAAAAAGAATAATCTTTCTATAATAGCTGTATTTTTAATTTTTCTTGTTACTTTTTTCTTTATTTTTGTACATACTGGATGCTTTTCAGTAAGAGACAATGACAAAGTGTAATACAGTGAATCATCTTATCTTTGTTTAATATTAGCAAACAACGAGGTTGTCATAATTCATTGTGCCAGCGGTTTCTCTTGCTGGAAAGCACCCGTCTTTTATAAACACAAATTTTTAAGGTTGTCAGTCTGCGAATTGAACGGCTCGGGAAAAATTTATTGTAAAGGAATCGACATTTTTTCGAGGATTTTAACATTATTTTTTTCATTAATGGTCAACAACTTATTTTCAGGTTGCTACCCGCATCACCAAGTTCATGATAGACAATTTCGGCGTTTCCAATCTATTTGGAAGGGACAATTACGAGTATTACGCGCGCATAACCGGCCGGATATTAAAAGTGGAGGAGGATTGGATCTTCAGTTTCCGATATCCGCCGGACACTCTCGTATCGAGTAAGTATGCGCGCGCATTTTTATTTGCGACGATTTAATCGCGCGTGTACGACTTGAGCATATGAATTTTAGGACAGCTGTCGCTGGAGGCTGAAAAATCGTGGTTGCAATACGAGTGCGAAAAATGGGGATTGAAGTTGAATTTAGAATGTAAGTGAATCTGATGTCATTGAATTGAGCATTTAGATTCTCGACTATTGCTGTAATTATATTGGCTGTTATCATCGTATCGCGACATCAGAAAATCGAGAATCATGTTTCTTTTCTCGCGCCATCATTTTTTCTACAATGCATCTCGTATTCGATAAAAAAGTTTTTTTCTTTCATCTCTCTCTTTTAAGAAGAAAGTAATTATAATAATTTAACTCAATAATAATTTAAAACGACTGTACAGCTTTGGTAAAAAATATTAGGCACTAATATTTTCATCATTCATTAGGAATTCTTTTACTTACATTGTCATCTATTGATTACTAGCATTATACACAAGTTTAAAAGGTTCTTGAAACAAAAAATAATTTATAGTAAATGCCATAAATCAATTTTTGAGTACAAATTTTAAATGATTATTAAAGTGTCTAATATTTTTGGCCAAAATTTCATATAGCATGAGAAAAGGGAAATATCTTTTTATTCCTGACAATCTAATCCAATATCAAATAACAACAAAACGATTCTAAGTATCTCTATACAATATCGTAATAATTTTTAATTCACACCATAGGTATGTCGCATCAAGAGGAATCGCAGTCAACTCCGGCGTTGATTCACGTGCCGGAGACCGTGAACCTCGCGTCATCATTAGGCATGATTCCAGAGAATACCTTACTCGAGAGTTACACGCGTCTCTCGGTGAGCTTAGAGGAAAACGGCTTGTTCCAGGTATAAAACCATCTATCGATAAGAAATCGCGATCATAGTCTCGCATTGCGTCGCAATCGTAATGCAAAAAATATTCGAAGCAGCATAGAAAGTAGATTATATTATTACAGGTACCCAGTCGTTCATCCAGTAACGGCAGTCAACATTCTAAGCATGGGACACTGGGTATGACGCTGGAAGAACTTCGCGCGGTAAATCGCTACGCCGAGAGCACCAAGAGTCTCAGCTACCTGCCGCAGGTAAGACGATCGTATCTCAATGTAGACAAACAGACAATTGAACCATAAATAAATGCTATTGCAATTAACATGCAGGTTCATGAGAGGCAAGCCGCACGAATGCGAACTAGATCTGAATGGTTTCTCACGCCTATAGTTGCCTCGGACAGTGATCCCTCGGCGTTACACATTTTACGAGGTTCCAATCGGTCTTCCTCTGGCAATATCGGTAAACAACCATCGTGATTTAAGAGATTCCTTTGATAGCCAGAAAGAAGAAAATTGATACAATTTTTGCTTTTTAATCTTATGTATTAATCAGATTATTTTTAGTATATAGATTTTAATAATACCGTTATGATTTAATTATTTTTACGTTTATATATTTAAACGTTTATATATTTTTTCTTTTCTGGTTTCTTAAATTTTCGGATATCATCAAACACCTGTTTCTGGCTGCTTTTCTTTTAGGAGACACAGTCAACATAATTTTTTTATTATTTACTGAATGTCAAGAAGGACAGAACGAAGCTTGTGTTGACTGTCTTTGAAAAGGAAAGCAGCCTCTGTCCTTGAATCTTTGTTCAATGAAGTCTTTGAATACAGCTACGGGTTTGAGCGCCAGCGCAGAATCGGTGAAGCGGCCGAGTCTTCGGAGAAATTCCTCCAGGGAGAAGCAACGTTGGCATCGCAACTCGTCTCGTCGCAACAAAGAGAACGGCACTAAAGGAGCGGGCCGCTCGGCTACAGCGGCCGCGGCAGCGATGGTGACGGAGGCGTCCAAGTCGCGTTCCCTAGAGACGATCAAGAACGTGAAGATCGTGCGCGTGATGGCGGCGGATCAGCAGCAGTCTGCCGAGAAGATGATGGACAGCAGCCACAATGATATCTTCGAGGAGCACGCGAGCAAAGAGACGCGCGTGCCGTCGCGTACCAGCGGCGACGGTGTCATTGGGCCGCAGGATTGCACGGAGATGGACGTCAAAACGTTTCACGTCACTCTGACGTACAAGCCGCGGATATAAACTTTAATTTTTATTTTTTTACTTTATTATAATCTAACTCGACGCTTTCAGGAATGTCGGAACGGTATTATTTTTCTCGCGCGTGAAATACGTTTTCGCGTTGGTTGTTACCCCAAATATTATACGTATAGTCACAAACCTGGACGACGATTTTATCCTAATGTTCGACGTTTAGGAAATATTAAATTTATCTCGTTCGCGAATATATACGATCCTTTTTTTTTAAATTTTAATACCGACGCTCAGGAGTATCGAACTCGAAATATCTTCCTCGCGCAAAATTGCGTATGTAGTAACACAAACACACGTACACACATACACGTACAAAGATTTATTTATTCTCGTCATATTGTAGTTCAAGTGTTCGTTTTTCACTGTTTTATAGTCGTGAAATTTTATCACTTTTCTGTGTAACAGAACGATTAATTAAGTTACATTGAAAGAGGGAGGGATTATATGAGAACGCACTTTTAATTTTATTCCGTTGAACGTACCGGTTTAACTTCGGTTACTCTCGCGTAATAAACACTATCGTGGCATTCCAGACGCATTTACTCTTGCCCCGCGATATTTTAATTAACTTTTCTTGCGTGCTCGATAATTTCGTTCGATTGATCGAGACGTTTTTCACACGAATCGTATCCACCATTACTTGTATTTATTCCGAATTATTAGAAATACGACTTAGACACTTCGGAAACCTATCCCATCGATCACCATCGCGTGACTAACAGCGTAACGTACGCAGGATGTTCCACGACGCGTCTGGCTTATGAATTCTTTTTGCAATCTATAGTCCATTTTTTCTTGATGAAAACATTGGGCTATTCTTTTGGAATTACATCCGAAATCGAGGCATGTAAGTCAAGTTTTAAGAACGCGGTTGGACAATAACATCTTGTTCTCTTCTTTCAAAATTAAAATTTTTAATTCAAACGGAAAGGCTAACGGCTATTCCGTTTTTTATTCATGGTATTGCGACCTTTCTATGGTGGACCGGAAGTCCATCCAGGGGAATAAGAAGAAGAAATTCAAATCGGATCTTTAATAAAAAAAATTATTTAAGACTTTGAGATGACTAAAAATTATGAGTCATGAGATAGGATTTAATGAAATGTTTTTTTCATAAAAAGAATTCATAAATGAAGTTTATTTGGACGTTGCCACGGGATATTGTGTACGAAAAGGAGGATTCGGTAAATCTTGCAATATCGGTTGCTCGTATATAAACGCACAGTCACGGTTGTTACATGCCAAATTAGTAGTACATGTAAGCTATACTTGTAAGACATCGATTATAGAAAATGTTATGATCGCATTATCGCGTGTACGTTACGAAAATCGTTTATAAGATCAGACAGGGTGAGTCAAGGGAAATGAAACGGTTTTTTTCCTTTGAATTTGAAAAAAAAACTATGCAGTACACTATTAATTATTGAAGGAAACAAGACGTTGATTAATTATATTTTGATTTTTATATTTTTAATCAATTACAGTTCTGTTACCTGCAAACATTCGAGTTGACCACGATAGAGCCAACTAAATTGCGTTGCACATATTTTTTTGTCTTCGAATTCACGGGAGATCCTTAAAGATTCCGCTTCTGGTTGACTCATTCTGTATATAGAAACTATACCGTATTAAGTCGATATTATTATCATCTAGAGCAAACGACTACGAAACGAGAGATATTTAACATCGTAAGTACGTAAGAGAAAGAAAGAGAACAACGGCATTCATATAACGACATATGTTAACACAACGAAAGTGTTCCGTAAATAAGAAATGTAGCGTAATTGCGCGATGAAGATCGCGCGGCGGACTTTCCAAGGGATTGCGGTTGATTAAACCGTGCGACCGGATCCCAAGGAGGATAGTAATCGACATAGTAATCGCGTAATATTGCGGAAAAAATATTGCGGGAACTTGAACGGGTGCGACAGAGACGGATTCGTTCAAGTCTCCTCTGTCTCTCGCAAACCGAAAAGCCATTTTCAAGCCGTCTTAAACCTACGTTCGTCGATAATTATTTAAAAAAGAAAATACTAAAATTGTGTATTATGGAGGCATATATAAAGCCATGGAGATTTTGCAATGAGCGTATGATTTCTATTAAAAAAAAGAGAGAAAAGAGAAGTAAATAAATTTTAAGATGGTTCGGAGATGAGCTGTTTACTTCTCCGCGAAGGCCACTACGTAAATTAATATATTTATGATTAGACGTATATAACATGTAAATATTGAATACCAAAAATGTAAAGTTATTATATATATTGGACGTAATATATATATATACATATATATAATATATATGCAAATGTAAACGCGTGAAAGTATGTATGTGTGATCGTGTTGAATGTCGCCGCATCGAATTGCCGTATCGATTTAAGTGTACTCGATGTCATCATTTCGCGACTGAGGGATGTTAAAGGAGAAGGAAGAGGAGTAACGAGGTGAAAGAGGAGGAGCGAGAGGCCGGTATTCACGTGCCGAGTAGAGGAAAAAAGACGCAGGCCCAGATGAGAAGGCACACGATCAGGAATAGCAGCAGCTTCGTGCGGAAGCTGTCCCAGCCGACCAAGATCACTCTCGGTGGCATGCGTCTTTCCGTCGTCGCGGAGAACTGAAAAATACGCACAATTGTTACTCGCTCATTCGACAAGAACCGCGTACGAAAGTGGACAGGAATAAATCACGTTGTCGTCCACTTGCTCCTCCTCGTTCTCGTCGTCATCGTCGTCATCGTCGTTATCGTCGTCCCGCAATCTCCACGCGCTTGGATGCTGTCGCATCGGATCCGTCTCTCGATCTCGTGTGTTCGTCGGCGACGTTGTTGTTGTCGTCAACGGCGTTAGCGACTGCGGTTGCGGTTGTGATTGCAGTTGCGATTGTGGCTCCAGTTGCGGTTGTGGCTGCAGTTGTGGTTGTTGCTGTGGCTGTAACTGTGATTGCGACTGTGGCTGTAACTGCAACTGCGACTGTGGCTGCAATTGTAACTGCGGTTGCGGTTGTGGCTGCGGTTGCGATTGAGACTGCTGGCTTCCAATTGTCTCAGATCGCTTGTTCTCAACAACGATAACGTTGTCGTCTACCGCGGATCGCGATTCGCTGAGCCCGTTGCTGTGTGGTTGTCTCGCGAGATACATGCTCGATCATGCGTGCGCAGTCATATTTTTTTACCAACGACAATTTTATCGCGATGCTATGTAGAGAAGAAGGGGACTTGTTTGATTCGAGAGCAAGAGAAGAGAAAAATAACGAAGAATTCTGTAACCATAAAACGCAAAGCGTCTATATAATTCTCTCGTGGCCCATGATATCTTTTAACGATTTAATTTACCCTCTTCTTCTCTACATTACGTGTCGTTTTGAGATCCTTGCCTATTATAATCCCGGCCAAAAAACGTGGAGCCATTAAGCCGCTTTGATCAAAACGTTCGTTCATTTATTTGTCTGATTAGCGTATAAGTATCATAAAAAGAGAAGGCGAACGAATTTTTTGATCTATAACGATTTGTAGATTTACTAAGGTCCGCGCAATTTTTAAAGATCTTTCTTAAGAATCGCGTCTCTCTCAGTATTATTTACAACTCTGTGTAAAAAGAGGATTTGCCGTACTTTTTAATTTTTTAACAACCAGACTCAGCGCGCAATCTGCTCGAGTATGATAATAAAGGGATCGAATAATCTAATAATGTACTGTGTAACGCCGTATTTTATTCGAATATTTACAGGAGCCAAATATTTATAAAACAGTACGAAATATACAATATTACAATCCGATTTATGAAAGCCTTTAGCTGCCGGGAGGACTGACTCCCTGAGCGTTCGGTCGTTCCTTCCGAATTTCTCCACAGATTTGTTCACGTTTCGTTTTGATGAACAATCGTCACAAATATGATTTGTAATACGAACGCGCGGATGTTGTAAAATTAGAGATGCAGGATAGCGATGGTGGAAAATACATACTCCAGTTGGTCCCAATAGCAGTAAACTACGTAGAACTGCAAAACACGCCGCATGGATTGCCAGTCTCGATACCAATAGTGGATTATGATCACAAAATCACAAAGAAGAATTCAACATCGAATTATAAATCACGATCACAAAGTCACAACCCAAAAAAAATAAACGTCAGTAACATCAACGTTACAATTTCACATTCAACAATGTAACATATATTATATTCAAAAAACATATGTGTCATATTAAATTTTATTGTTGAGTGTGAAATTATATCATTCATTACTGTTAGTTACAGTTTTACTGAAGTATCCTCTCCAAATTCTTTAGAGTGGAAACTCTCATTCCTAAGAATGAAAATTGAACCAGTCTTCAAGAGTGATTGAAATTTCAATCTTTAAAAGTGAGGTTTACTCAAAAAGTTTTAGAGAGTAACTAAATATTTAGATACTTCAGCAAAATCGTTCTTTCCGTGTGGTTTACTTGGGAACCTGCGGAAGTCACAGGACCCGCAAACTAGCGATTATAATGGAGAACATGGAAGTCGCGTGGATCCGATTACAAATCGCGATCTCAACACCAGCGGGATCACCACCAAGATCCGATATCACCCATAAATCACGAGGTCGCAGAATTCATCGCTGATTCGCGATCGCGAGGACACTGCAGGATTTGTAGAGCGAGGATGATCCCGATCACAAGATCCGATACTGGTCCAGCAGGGTGTAGACGATGATCCAGAGGAGGAATGCCACGATCACGGAGACCAGGAAGACGGTTTTGAGCGAGTGCCAGGGACTCTCGGTGCGCTGCTCGCTGCCTCCGACTCGGCTGCTCCTCCAGACCTTGCAGTTGCCGTTCTTGCAGGGCGTCGCGTCGCTGCCGCTGGTGTGCGCCGTCGAAGGCATCGACGTCGCGACGTTGCTGCTCGGCGCGGTCGCCTTCACCTCGCCCAGCTCCGTGGTTTCACCGGCAGCGTGCCGGTGCATCTCCGCTGTCTTCGTCGCCAGCTCAAATCTCGAGGGCGAATCCATCTGGAAAATGGATCCAAGAGGTAAACATCATCATCTTTGTCGCATGATAGATAATGCGGTTTAATATAAAGGAAAGAAAAATTATTATTGTTTCTTTACGCTCGAAAGCTCAAGAAATGTTAGAAATAACCAAATAAGACTCTCTAATATTAAAAATATATAAATAAGGAGAAGTACAATGGCAATGAGAGTCAAGCGTAGTAATTGGAGCGCAACCAAATTCTTAGTGGTGATTTATTACGATTCAATCTACAAACGTTCCGGCATCATTCCGAGCCATCATCGATAGATAAATTTCTTGTACATGTATAATAATTATTGTCTCAACTCCACTTGGAAAGTCATACGTATGTCTCACAGTGGTTGAAAGACCGAGTGATTTTGGATCCTGCAACGAAATCATATTCATTTAATTGATATATTTTAAAATCCAATTACTGCGCTTGATTCTCATTGCTATTGTACTTCTCCTTATTTATTTTTAAGATATGTTCCCAGACAGAAATGACTTATGGAATTGATATCTAATCGACGTCGATGTGATAATTCCGATTAAGGCTGATTTGTTTCGAAGGCTTTGAACTTTAAAGATTCGAAGCTTCGACATTTAAAATCTTCGGTACTTCAAACTTCGAAGTTTCGAATGTTTTTATGTTGTTAAATTATTATTACGTCGTTAAATTAAAAAATATGTAAGATTAACTACTTTCATCAATTTTAAGATTTTGTCTCGATTTTCCATTCTTAAAATTATTGTTTTATGTTAAGAAATGCTTACAATCAGTAAAGCCAAAACGTTCATATTAATTTACTATTCTTTTGTTTATTCATTTGAGAATAAATTTATTTTTACTGTTTTAATTTTCTTAAATGGATTGTTTTGTTAAGCATTATATTCTTATATTTACATGAATTAATATTAAAAAATACTTCCAATTTTTTTAAGAATATCACATTTTTTCAATATATATATATATATATATTAATTAATTAATTCTTATAAATATTTTTAGCATTTCCTGAATGAATTCATCATTCGCACGTATTTTTTGGAGTTTCGAAAAAATTCGAATATTCGAAATAAGTCAAAAGTAACAGCCTTTATTTCGACATCAATTCGATATGTAATTGTCAGTTATTTCTCGCTGGAGTTTTATCTGCCACAATTTTTAGAAACTTCTAAAATTGCGACGTAAAGTGTGATGTAGCATTTTTTGAATCTCTTAAATTTTTGATTTCTTAAACTCAAAACTTAAAATCAAAAAGTTAAAATAATCTGTTTGAATATTTTATTCAGAAAGATTTTTTTTCGTTAGATTGGAGCGTGCTTTTGTTGTATAGTTTTCTCGAAAAACTTCCTGATCGTCAAAGATGTCAGTTTATTCAACTTGATAAATAAGAAATACAAAAAGGTTTCTTATTCGTCATCGTTTCAACAACGAGACGTTTCACGTGAAATATGCAGGAAGAACAAAAATAATATTATTCGTAGACATATTACGATATCGCTGTTTGAAAAAAGTACAGCAAGAATATTGCGGTATTTCGACATTTATTGCCGGATAAAAATTATCTCTCTCTGTCAGCGGTTTTAAACATCCTGCAAACCATCCGATTAACGTGCCATTTCATATTTCCGGATTCAAACTCGACCTATCTAATACGTTATGGAAATAAAATGAAATGCAGTAAAAATTAGACTCCAATTCGACCTAACTAAATTCCTTTTAAACTCTAAATACTGTTAGAGGTTTTCCTAATCGTTTTGTCTTCCTAATCTTTAAAACTAGTCTTTTAAAACAATTATATTCAGAAATAAAATATGATATACCTATAATATATGTAATAATATAAAGTACGTAGTAAATTATTATATTATTATATTATTATATTATATTATATTTGTATAATGGCTTCAAAATTATTTTGAATATTTGTTATTTAAATTTATTTCAAATATGTATTTTTTGAATTACGATAAGCTTTAGTCGACTCTTCGCTTTTTATTGTTGTTGAATATTTAGCATATTTCATATTGTAAAAATTTCTAAGGCCTGTTTTCACAATATAGGGTTACCTAAAGATTAAAGGTTACCAACAGATTGATCAATGAAATTCATTCATGAATTTCTGGATTACCTTGAATCTTTAGGTTACCATATATTGTGAAATCGGTCTAACAGCGTTTTTAAAAAAAAACCGATCTACCTAAATTTTTGTGTTAATTCAACGTAAGATGAATTAAGTAGATATGTTAGAAAGTGACAAACACACAATTTGTAAGCAAATTGTGGAAGCATAATTTTTAAATAAAATTAACATTTTTATAATATGTTAAATTAACATATATTTTATTTATTTATTTTAGAATTTATATTTTAAAGTATTTATATTATTTTATGTTATTTGTTCATTTAGTCATAAATTGTGTTATTTTTAACACTAGAAGTGTTGAATATATCAATTTAACACATAATATTCAAATAACACGATCACGTTATATGTATATGTTAAAAATTTAACACAAAAGTTTTAACAAGGACCAGTTTTAACACAAATACAAAATGTATTTTACTGTTTGTAAAACTGGAGTTTTGAATAGGCATCTTTTATGCCATCGCGACAGTAATTATCACGAATTCTGTAAAACAAGAATTTTGAAAAGATTATTCTTTTTTTTTGCCATTGCAACGGCAATAATCGAAACGCAGTCAATGCTGTACATGCGTTAGGATATGAGGAAAGTGAAAGGAGTAAATCAAGTTGATTACGTATGCTTCAGGAATCTGGTTTTCCGAGAGGTAGGGGAGATTTCGCCGTTGATCCATCGGATCAATCCATATGGATCCAGACATCGTCGTCTGTTATCGTCCCTGTCACACTACGCATTGATGATTGAGAATTGTAAATTGAAGATTTTACGCAAAGAACGGTTTTACTGAAGTAAATATTTAGCTAGATACAGATCTGAAAATAATTATGTAATAGGATCTTCAAACTGGTTATTATATGTCAAAATTTTTTGCAGCATTACTCATCATGCTTCCTACTTAATTATTTTGATAATACAACATATTATTTTCTATATTTAGTTAAATTTTTATTTTTTTTATTTTTAGATACTTCGGCAAAATCGTGCTTTTCATGTAGAATTTAGCCAATCAGACCACGAATTAAATAATTAAAAAAATATTAGATTCTTTATGTTTCTCTCTCTCAACAACAATAAAGAAATGAAAATTAGGGCTGTTAGGCATCGGCGTTGTAATTAGTGCGCCAAATATTATATAAAAAAAAAATTTTACATGTATTACAACTGATGTTCAGCGTTTGGTCATATAATAAAAGAATGTTCTTTTATTATGTAATACATGGAAAATTTCTTTTTTTATTAAATATTTATAGCGCACTAATTATAGCACCGATTCTTAGCCTAACAGTCACCTTTTTATTGGCATTGAAACGGATTAAAATAAAAATTATTCGACTGATCGAATTCTTATATCTAATTCGCAATCTTCAATTTCTACTGTGTAGTGTGACACGGGTTTAACGATGACATATATTAATAATTAACTTTCGCGAAGACACAAGCAACGTACGTATCTCGGTGAAAGCACAGCTGATCGCGAAATCGCGACGGAGCGTTTCAAAAGTTGCATAAAAGGAAAAGATAATAATAATAATAGATTTGTAGCAACAATAGAACGTATTTCTAAATAATATTCTGCAATTTTTAAAGTGCTCGATTGACTTCGCGAGTCGCTATATATCTTCGAGATAACTGATGCCTCTTGAGATCGCACTTCGAGATTGGCTCGCGTTTTTATCTTTTTCTTGTTTTTAGCAACAAAGGGAAGGGGCTTGTTAACGTTACTCGTTACGCGACTTTCACCGCATTCGCTCGAGGATCAAACGACAGTCAACGACCCGATTAGAGACGATCGACCGTGTCCGTTCGCCAACGTCGATATTAATGGGATCCCTTTATGAGGGATTTAATCGGTTTCTCGAATGTAGCTGCAACACCAGCATCGTAAAATTTGCCGAGTGGCATCGGAATAAATCGAGACGATTGGCGAATGATAACTCCCGATAACGCGATTATTCAGACCCGTATATATCCGCCGATTTCGTTCGATTTCGTAAAACATTATTTCAGCTCAATAATTATAATATACGGAAAGACATACAGCTTTGCTGAAGTATCTAAAAATTTAGATACAGATCCGAAAATAATTTTATTAATGGACCATCAAAATAATTATGTAGAATGGAGATCATGAAGGTTTGCTAAAGTAGGGCTTTAAACAGATATTATTTATGATCACCAATGATGGCTCAAAAGTGAGTCGAAACGTTTGAAGCTCGTAATTGAATATAATTGATAATAGATTTAAATCGTGCCCTACTAACTGCTCCTAACTTTTATTTGCCCGACGTATCTCTTTATTTAATTATTTTAAAATTTGAAATTAATATTTTGAAACTAATATTTGTTTATTATGTAGGACATTCAAGTTGCGAGTTGTTAGAATGTTCAAATTTTTTGCAACATTACTCGTCATGCTTGAGCGTCCATAATTATTTTGTAACGTTTTAAATTAAAGAATACTATTTGTTTCATTTGTGACTGCAGCAAATTAAATTAAGATCTATTTCTTTTTTCTAGAATACATATCTATCGTTATATGTTACAATTATATGTTTATTATTTGTACTGTTAAGGCTCACAATTTGGAGCTGAAACGTACAGTTTGTGAAGCAATGTATTTTCAGTTGAATTTATTGATTGAATTTTTGTGTTAATTAATTGCGTCGACTCTAACGACCTTTTATGTTTGTTTTTTATAGTTTAAATCAATAGAAGTCCTGTAGTGTCTTAACTTTGACATCTATATTTTTATTACAGTTTTTTTTATTATTATTTATAATTATTTAAGTAGTTCAGCAAAATTATTTTCAAATTCGTATCTATAAACTAAATTTTTTTAGATACT